TGCAGGCAGGTGTTTCCCTGGAATCATCACCCTGCACTCCTAGGACTGGCAAACAAATCACCCTATCTGGGTGTTGCATGTTAACAGTAGCAATGTATGCTAATACAATGTGTAGCGTTTAACTCAATCTGTTAAAATAGCTGCATGCATGAAGTTACCTCATTCTGAGTCAGCCCACTGATCCAGCTAGTGCAGATCTGTTAAAATAGCTGCATGCATGAAGTTCTTATTCTGAGTCAACCCATTGATCCAGCAAGTGCAATATTTTCTATCCATATTACAATGGGTAGCATTTCTCCAAGTCCTGGGAAATAGATCCTTTTCCAGATTCTCTGATCACTGGTGCCTAGGAACATTTGAACTGGAGATGATAGGGATTGTATCATGGACACTCTCTGTGCAAGATATGTACTCTGCCCAGCCACTGACCTCTGGTCTCCCAAAATCTGAGAAATGTATGAATCACGTGAATATTTAACGTGGGGCTTGGATTCTCATTAGAAAATGTGGCCAAATTCTGCACATAACATTGCATACTATTCATATGCAGGTCATACAGGATGGTGGGTGATGTTTTACTGAGGGGAGAGAGAAATAGGATGCATGCTGAGAGGCATTGTGCTGGGTTTGCATGCAGATAACTTCACTGAGCTCAGCGTTGTTCAAAATGTTCTGCAGAACAAGTTCCAAAAGTAGATCAGTTAAATTAGGTAATAAGTGAATAGCATGTGGAATTGTGGATTAGCCAACTCCCATTTTAATTACAAGCCTTCACATCGAATCTTGTGATATACTAGAGCAAAACACTGCCTCTGCAGCCATTTCCTCAAGGAGCCATTATCCATGGTGTTCTGTGATTTTTCTCTGTGCAGCCAGGAGAACGATTCTGGATTATATAACTGTTGTGGTAATTACAGGAAGTCAAGAGCCAAACTCCTCTGATACTTTATCATTATTTTTTTTAACATCCAGCCTGTAATCCAGTGGAAATATAGTATGGGGGAGAGCCTAGGGGGTGTGCGTGCTTTGAGGTGGGTATACTGAGAATTTATCTTGGCTTGTTTTAACCCCACACTGTCCAAGTTTATCTTCACTCATGGGACCAAAACATCCTGTTTGGGTGGAGGAAAATGACTAGAGAAAAACTAAGATTCCACATATTAGTCTGCCATCAGAACTTGCATCCTGGGTGGTTGCTCTAGATTATTTGAACTGTAGGAAAATATGGGGGATATTAGAACTGCACATGAATAATAAGTGTGTGTATTTTGATTCCTGCATTGGACCTTATTCTGTGAGGTCTCCCTCTCCCACTCTTGTGTCATCATCAAGCTACAGAGGAGGCAGTCAGGAATACAGAAGGCTGGCAGGAGCAGGAATTACTGTGAAGAGCACTCTTGTGGAATCTGTATAAGGTGTCAGCAAGAGGCAAAGAAAGGAAGATGACCAAAGTGATGATGAAGTGGAAGAGGGTTGAATTTCACAAACCGATTGAAAATTGGACACACAGTTCAAAGCAGATCTAAGGAAGAAATGAAAATGTACACCAGCCTCATCTACTATTCTTTTTGAGTGGCTCTGGGATTATACATGTCCCATGTTCAGCTGTTTTGACAGAAAGCAGTCCACTGTTAACAAATGTCTCTAGAATATTAATCACGCTGCTCTGTAGAGGGAGGAGGGGGTCATAAACACATAGTTATTGCATGAACTGGTTGGCTATTAACATCAGCATAAATGCAATAGTGTAAAATTGCCACCAGTTAACAATTTGGCATCTGTATCTTTCATCACATGCCAAGTCATGTAACTAGTACATGATGAGGAATTCAAACAGCAACTCATTAATATGTGACAGTGCATCACTGCAATTTATTACCATTGCACTCACACCACCGTGAAGAACCAATAAGATTCTGGCCACTGTGACAAAAGAGTTTGCTGCTTTTCAGATATCTTTGTGTCTTAAATGGGTATTTGCACTTTTAAGACTTGGGCATCTTTGAAAATCACAGTAAAACATGTCCATCACTTTGTTCAGCTTCCCCGCAGACAATGTTTCCATTCCTAATAAACATGTCGAAATGTTGTAGGCTTCTCTAGCACAATAATCCAAGTTACTGCAGTCATTAGTGATTGTCTGTGACTAGAGAGTAATATCACTAGAGAAGTGGGCTTATAAAACAGTTCTTTATTAGAGAAATACTATGTTTCCCTGAAAATAAGACAGGGTCTTATATTAATTTTTGCTCCAAAAACGCATTAGGGCTTATTTTCAGGGAATGTTTTATTTTATTCATGTACAACAGTCTACATTTATTCAAATACAGTCATGCCATCTTCTTCTGATTGCTGCAAAGTGGTGGAGGGCGGAGTTTCACTTAACTGGGGTTTATTTTTGGGGTAGAGCTTATATTATGAGCATCCTGAATACTAGGGCTTATTTTCAAGTTATGTCTTATTTTAGGGAAAACAGGGTATGTGTTAGTAAATATGTAGGAAACATTTAAACTCCTGCCTGATGTATCTTCATTTAATGAAAAGGACTTTTTAATGCAGGGATATATTATCAGTTTAAATTACTCATTGGTTATATATTAGATCTAATCCTTAGACCGCACAAGCTTGTGCTTTTGCCTGTCCATTCACCTTCCAACAGGTGTCACAGTAGTTTTTGAAAGAGCAGACTTGGCATGGCCAAGGCTCACGGTTTGCAAAGCTTCCATTGTCCGACTATCATTTTAATCTGACAGGTTAGTAGTTTTTGGAGCACAACAAATCCTGCAAAACAGATGCAAGACAGTGGTAGGGTGCTTGTCCATGATGCATGTTTCATACAATTGAATTATTCATCTCTTTGAAATCATCAACCAAGGCTAGCTCAAGACATTTTGATCTGTTAAGGCTGAACACAAAATGGCACCCCACCCATCCGCCCACGTTAATGTGTGTAGTACAGCCAGGAGATTTAGGTGCAGAAGGTGGAAAATCCTTCAAGTATTTTTCCCAGATTCTGACAGTACTAATATAATAACAACAAATTTAATAACAGCAAGTCTCTGTCTGATGTCATAGACTCACTCTACCAGTGGATAAAGTTCGTGTGGCATGTGCTCAGAGAACCGGCTGGGAATTGTTCACTAAACATATGCTATGGCCTGCAATTTTAAGTAATTGATGTCTTGATAGCCCTGTGTGAAGGATAGGTTGTGATTTCATCTTTTGTTCATGGGAATATGTATAAATTGTATAAATTACAGAAGCCATAATATCTCTATATGTTGGAAGGGGTGGATCTTGATCCATGAAAGCCCACACTGAACAAATCTGTTGATCTTTAAAGTGCCACAATATTCTGTGCCCCCCCCCATTAATTTTGTCAACATGCTGAGATATACTGACATGACTGTTATTGTTGTTTTGTGCCATCAAGTAACCTCTGAGTCATGGTAACCCTATGATTTAGTAATCTCCATAATATCTTGTCCTGAACAGCCCTGCTGTGGCTTCTTTAAGGAGTCAGTCCATCTTGTATTTTCCTGCTGTCTTCCACAGCTTCCTTTAAGGAGTCAGTCCATCTTGTGTTTTCCTGCTGTCTTCCACCTTTCTGAGTATTATTGTTTCTTTCCCGAGAATCCTGCCTTCTCATGGTATGTCCAAAGTAGGACAGCTCCTGGTTCAACATTTTTGCTTCCAAGGATAGTTCACACTTGATTTGATCTAGGACCCACTTGTTTGTCTTTGTGGCAGTCCAGTGTATCTTCAAAGGTCTCATCCAGCATGCTATTTCAAAGAGATCAGGTTTTTTCCTGTCAGCTTTCTTGACTATCCAGCTTTCATGGCCATACATAGCAATCAGAATTACCAGAGTGTGGATGTTCTTGGTCTTGGTCTCAGTGACACATCCTTACACTTAACTATCTTTTCTAATTCCTTCATTTCTGGTTTTCCAAGTCTCAGTCTTCTTATTTCTTGGCTGCAGTCTCTATTTGGACTGATGACTGAGTCAAGATATACAACTAATGATTTTGGTTTCTTCATTGTCAATGCTAGTTTTATAGTTCTTCTCTTGGTCTTCATAATGTTCAACTGCAGTCCTGCTTTTTTCTTTCGCTTTTCATTGTTCAACTGCAGTCCTGCTTTTTTCTTTCACTTTTCATCTTTCACTAAAAGTCATTGCTGCTTTCTGCTAGTAAGAATATGTCATCTGCATATCTTAAATTATTTACATGGCTACATCTATGGCAACTGTCAGGAAAAATAGAAAGGAGCAGGAAAAGAGGAAGACTGAAGATAAGACAGAGCAGGAAAAGAGGAAGACTGAAGATGAGACACATTGACTCCATGAAGCCTTTAATATACAAGACCTGAGAAGGGCTGTTAATGACAGGATTGACTCCACAGCCTTTAATATGCAAGACCTGAGAAGGGCTGTTAATGACAGGACCTTTGGAGATCACTCAGTCATGGTGTCACTGTAGGTCAGAATTAGCATAACAGGAACATCAGCCTTTCTCTCTTGAGGTGTAAAAGGGGCCCAAGATATTAGGTAAGCTGAATAGAGAGGGAAAGTGCATATTTAACTCTCTGCAGTGATAGGATTACTGTATTAAAGGTCTGATTCTTAACTGATGTTCCAGCATTTAGTTATTGTAGCTTCTGGTTTTTAGCACATCAGTTCTACAGTGTGGCATGTTTCGTTGAAGTCACCTCTGTATTACCTTCTTTTCACAGAAGAGCAGATTGCCAAATAAACATTTGGGAGAGGTAATATGTGTGTCTATCTTATCTGTCCATCTTATTTTTGATAGCCTATAATTTTGCAGCCCTGCGAAATTCATAGAGATAAAAAAGCAGGAGACAGGAGGGACTGCTACTGGATGTATAATAAGCACATACAGTATTACTCAAAGTGGCATTTGCTTTTTCATGAACGACACATTTATTTGTGTCTTTATGTATTTATTTAGGAATTTGTTGGCTTAAATTGTGTTTTTCAGAGACTGGCTAAATGTATATAGCCCTCCTATAATTCTGCCCAGTCAACAGGAGGTAGAACATGCTGAAACCACAGCAAACCTGAGTCACCAAGGTAAGAATAAGAATGTGTGGAAGAGATTTCACACACACAGTTGCGCATGTGCACAAGCACGTACACATACACGCACACACGTGTGCACACACGTGCACATACATACATTTATGACTCAGGCCAATTGGAAATAGGACACATGTCTGCATAGATGGAAATAGAAGGACACACGCTTGTAGCAAGATAGTATATTGCTCACTCCAGCCCCAAACGGTAGGGATGGGCTGATTTGTGTAAAGGGAAGACACTCAGGAACACTTCCACTGTAATTATTGCCTCGGAATTCTTTTCTGTAATGACTATAGGACTGCTTTGTTCTTTGATTTATAAAATAAAACATGCTATGGGTCAAGCTCACCTCAAAGCTGTGGCTTCTGATGAGTATTATATGCCTCTTATGTACAATAGAACAAGCCTGCTAACTCACTTGGCAGTAAAACAAGCTACTATACACAGTTCAAAGGCACTTCTTCTTATGACTCTATGTGTCCCAATGGCTATGAGCAATACTCAGAGAGCACACCAGAAGAAAACAACCCTTAACATTCTACAGGAAGATATGCATATTGTGTTAAACATAACTGAAGCACAGGTGAAAGAGGGCAACCCCAGATGAACCTGGTGGGATTTATTTCTGAGTTTAGGAGTGTATTATGCATTTACAATGGAAGTAGGATGGACAATTCTGATGATGATGATTTTCTGTGTACTTTTACAAACTTTTAATTTCCAGAGTAATTTGCAGTTAATGAGCATTAAGTGTGTGTAAACATGGCCTGCCGACCTCTGGTCTGGTTTGGAAGGGGAAAAGTGGATTGAATTGGACAGAAGGGGAGCAGAGTGTGCCAGGCTGAAGCAAAACATTAGAGACAAATCTCTGGAAGCAGTTTGGGAATAGGGGAGCGGGAACAAGGTGAAACTGAATCCACAGAAGATGAGGGCAGCCTGATGGGGAAACAAATTGGTCTGCCTAGAGGGATTCAGCCAGGATGGGACCTGTTTTTAGCCTTGGGGGGTCCTCCCAGGCTCACTGCTCTCTGGAAGCCCAAGAGGCTATGATGATTAGGATTGCCTTTTATCAGCTTATATCGGCTGTGTCAAAATAACAGATGAGACGTCAGTTTGGGGGGTAGGAGGCATGTTCCCATAGCAGCTAAAAGGATATCTGTTGTATGTTTGATTCTGTTTGCAGATTGATCATTAGGAAACAATTGACTTTGCAGACACAGGAGATTGGGGGTGGGGGGATTGGAGTTACAATGTTTTATCAGATGCCCTAGTGTGACAGACTAGGACTCAGAAGACCTGGGATGGGAAGGGTGGAACTAGTAAAAATATTCCTTAAATTCCTCATATACCTTGAAGGCCCTAGTAGGGTCTAATGTGTCATCTGTTTTTGCCTAACTTTTTCTTTTGGACATGGCCAGTCTTGCCTGGCTTATGCAGTCTAGCTGGCTGGATTGCTCAGTGGTTTAGGTTTCTGACTACGGGGCCAGAGGTTGTGAGTTCAACTGCCCACTATGTCTCCAGGGAGAAGAACCATCCTGTGTGGCTTTTGGGCAAGCTGCACAGTCCCAGGGCACCCCCAGAAGAAAGGAACGGTAAACCACTTCTGAGTATTCTGTACCTGGAAAATACTGAAAATAAGTCAGAATTGACCGGATGGTACATAGTTGTTGTTGGATTACATCCAGAATGCGCTATTGTAATATAATTTACATAAGACTTAGTAAGGAAAGCAGTGGCTTATAACCTGGTGCTGCATTTTAGCATGTTGCTCCATGTGTACTTAAGAGAAAAGCTGATATTTCTACTGCTGCATGTTCTTTTTATGGCTGTGTGTAAGGGTTTTTGAACTTGCTGTGAGATTGTTGGCCTGAAGCATTTAGCGTTGCTGTTCCTGTTTTATAAATGGGTTCCTTCTGAAGGGTTGGCATGGGATGGTGGGAGATATAGTCTACAACAACTGGTTTTTCATGAAGATGTTCCCGACTTTACTATATTTGAAAGCCACCTTTTCTTTTGCAAGATTTTGGAACATTGCTCTACCCCAGAGTTTTTGGGTATCACTCTGAATCGAACCTGGACCTACAAAAAACATTGTCTAAGAACCAAACAGAAAGTTGCCAACGGAAATAACATACTTTGGAAACTGGCTGGGTCAAATTAGAGTGTATAACCACAGACAATAAGAACAACAGCTTTATCCAAGTACTTGTTGTTGTTGTTGTTGTTGTTGTTGTTGTTGTTGTTGTTGTTGTTGTTGTTGGTTAGTCATTAAGTCACATCCGACTCTTCATGACCCCATGACCTCCATATGGCGGTGCTGTATGGTATAATTCTGCACATGCCAAACAAGTGAATGTAATTCTTAATGAATCATGCAAGATTATTACTAACTGTCTGAAACCAACTCCCATTGAAAAAGTCCATTGTCTAGCTTGTCATTGCCCCTCCGAATGTACATCAAGAGGTATGAGAAAATCATGAATGAAATAAGGTAATACAGCACCAAACCCATCCACTTCATGGACACAAACCCCTAGACAACAGCTAAAATTGAGAAAAAGTTTTCTGCATATGTCTCGAGCACTAAATATTAAATCAGAAGAAGCTAGGCTAAACATATGGACAACAAAAACAACACACCTTGCTGAATGGATGAACGCTGAAGAGTTTTTCCCACAATGACAAGACTCTAGCTGGACCATCTGGAAGTCAGTTTATAAACTACAAAGCAGAAAAGGAAGATCAAAAAATAATTAAGTAAAATGGAGCTGCTTGTATACAGAACATAGATTAAATCAGAAGAAGCTAGGCTAAACATATGGACAACAAAAACAACACACCTTGCTGAATGGATGAACGCTGAAGAGTTTTTCCCACAATGACAAGACTCTAGCTGGACCATCTGGAAGTCAGTTTATAAACTACAAAGCGGAAAAGGAAGATCAAAAAATAATCAAGTAAAATGGAGCTGCTTGTATACAGAGCATAGTTTCTGTGACTGTGGAGAAATTCAATCAATGAAACACTTAATATGCATGCACTGCATGCCCCACCAAGTGTACTATATCTAGCAAATGGCTGAGATAACGCTATTGAAGTAGCCCAGTTCTGGTCAGAAATAGTCTAATTATCTTAATATTTTAATTTGTTTTTAACTTTACCAATATTTCATATACATACATATATCCATCATTTTGAATTGTGCAACACTCTGATATGAATAAAGAAAGCAGAAACAAAGCATAGTTCCAGAACATACACAGAGCGCAGACTAAAGAGCGAAGAGCATATATCTTTAGAGAAGCTAAGCCAAAGTAATTCATTTCTCTGTGCCATTTTTATACCCATCATCCCACTTTTCCAGACCTTTTGAAAGAAGTCCACCAATCAGATTCTCAGTTATCCCCAAGCCTTCTAGATGGGAGTAAAATTTCTTCCATGTAACGTCAGTCTTCTGGCTGTTTCCCTACCCCCACCTCCTTCAGCTCAACTGAAACCAGTTTTACTTTATTATGGTACCAAGCAAAGAAGTGTTTCTACCTTGTTTCCCACCAAATAACACCCATCTGTGAGTTGTCTTCCAATTAATTGGCAGTTGTTTTGCCCCCTTTCCTTCTCTCTGGCATTAACGGACCTGAATTTTACAGAGACTGAAACCTATTACCCTCTCTTTTGCCAGTTTCTGAGCATGAATAATGAGTGCACAACATTAAGGTTTTTTTAAATGTCAGTAATTATAACCATATTGTTAAAAGAAGTGGTTTTCCATACTCTGCCAACCACCTTGAAACATGGATCTTTTCTGCCCCCTTGGCTTTCCTCACCCTCCTTTCGTGAGGCTCACTACCGTCATGGTGGCGATGGATACCTATTGTTCTCCTCATTCTTTTCCAAATGTAGAGCCTGAAGTAGGAGATCCTGATGCATTCCAGGTGTGCATGGTGGCTACTCTCAAGAATGAAGCCATCTTGGTGATTTATTCGTTAATAGAGATGACGGTTCCCACACCGGGAGTCTTTTCATGGGTGCGTAAATTTGTAATCACTTGTGACAGCTCAGTTGCTGTCAGGGTAGGACCTTGCTTTGAGGAATCTGACAATACTTTATGTTAAAAGCCCTAAACACGCCAAGGAGAATGGGATAGTAATCCTTGAGTTAAAGGCGCATTCAAGATATATTTCGGCTAGGGACCGGAGAAAATTCTTAATGTCATCCTTATAAAAATCTTACTTTTCTGCAGCCATGCTGCAGTTCTCATAAATCTAACTGCTGAGGGACTGGATGCTAGATGCTGCTCAATATGCCATGCAAACTTCTGTTTAATTAATTTAATCTAACTCTGAAATTGGAGATGGGGATATTTGTACTCATAAACAAATATGAATATCCCTGTCCCAGCGGGACCAGACCATCCACTTACTCATCCCAGTGCCGTAAAGGTCCCACTCATCCTGCCAATGTGCCAGGAGCTCCGCTGTCTCCCTGCTCAGCTGGCCACTCCGGACAGGGGGCAGGAGGACGAGTGGCCAGCTGAGCAGTGAGACAGCAGCGGTCCTGGCCCCATTGGCAGGAAGAGCAGGATCTTCGCAGCACCGGGACGTGTGAGTGGACAGTCTGGTCCCAGCAGTCAGACCCTCATTAAATCCAGCTGGGATGGGGATATTGTATTTCCCCGAAAATTAGACAGGGTCTTACATTAATTTTTGCTCCAAAAACACATTGGGGCTTATTTTCAGGGAATGTTTTAATTTACAATCATGTCATCTTCTTCTGATTGCTGCATAATGGTGGAGGGCGGAGTTTCACTTAACTGTGGCTTACCTTTGGGCTAGGGCTTATATTACAGGCATCCTGAAAAATCATACTAGGGCTTATTTTCAGGTTACGTCTTATTTTCAGGGAAACAGGGCATTCGTATTCATTTACAAATACGCATATCCCCATCTCTACTCTGAATCTTCAACCATGGCAAATATTAACCTTTCCCCCTT